AATCATCAGTTAATCACAGTAAATCACATAATTTATTGTTATCAAAAACAGAATTGATTAAATTATATCACAGATTTGATTTCGCATGTCCCTGGTTTATACTTTAATAGTTTTTACTGAGCCTCAAAAATATAAACAGTATAAACCTATTACGTAACTAGTTTATACTTTTATCAAGTTTGATAAAAGGTATTGTCGGCATCACTAGTTCGAATATGTGTATGGGTGAGCGGGGGCTGATAATAAGTGAGATGTAGTGGACAAACAAAGCAAAAATAAAGAAATGAGTAATAAACCTCTGAGCAGATATTAGTTTTAGTGAAAACGCTAGTAGGGGTTCTTTGAACAATGGTCGAACGAGGAAAATAAATTATATTGGTGCTATGCTTCAAAACTAAAAACAATAATAATTCAAATTAGCAATTAATTTAATTAATTTTACGTTTTTGCAAAAAATTTTTTTGTTTCAGCAAAAATATTTATTTATAGCGAAAAATATGGATATTGTGAACATGATGAGCTGCGCCGAAACGTGACGCGGCTACGATGATCAATTGCTTAATGTGGACATTCCGCAACTAACAGTTGTTTTTATCTCTAGTTTTTTAAAATTTGATCCACCATGTTATGAAAAAAAAATTATTTATGCTGCCTTATTACATATTAAAATTTTAATAATAAAAATTTTTGTAAGAATAAAGGATTGAAATTTTGATATTAACGTTAATTAAACCCACACTGCCCTCTCTAAAAATCTACATATATACGGCACCTCACTCTTCCGACACACTTTACAGAAATTCTTATAAGTTTTATCATTTTTCCATTTGAAATAACTTTCATATAATGTTTGATTATTAGCAACTTTATGAATATAATTAATGAGGTCTTCGACATTTTAAAATCGGTAACTTTTATAATTGAATTTGGTGGAACAAAATCATCTATATCAGAAGCACCCATATAGATGGGTATAGTATGACTTTTTAGGGAATCATAAACTTTTTCTGTAACATAACTTTCGCAATTTGAATTCTCAAAGGCGAGAACAAATTTGTATCTCATAAAAACATCAATCTTTACTTCATACGTATGTTCTCTGAAATAAGCTGTTTCACCTTTTTTTATATTATATTTTTCTCTAATATCATCAGGCAATTCTTGGTTATGAAGGCATATGCCGAATGAGTGGACTGTGATGTATTTCATTAATTCCCGTACATAGTCACTACGATTATTTTTAGGGTTACAATTACCAGCCATCCACGCAACGAGAACGTCAGATTTCTTTCTATTAAAAGGAATTCGAATATTATAAAATTCGGAAATATTGTCCTTATCTATTCCATATGTTGGTTGGAATTAGTGTTTCGGGCGAAATTATTTTTGAATTTCGCCCTATAAGTCCGAAATTAATTTCGCCCAATTTTGATATGCAAAATTGAATTTCGCCCGAAACACTAGTTGGAATATATCAAAAATTTTTGTGGGAGCACCCATCGTCATATCAAATCGACTTTGGAAATTTTTAAGGCCAACAAACCAATAATAACCTAAGCCTTCATCTGAAAATTGAAGCCACCATACCTGCCCTGACTTACGCGGGGGCATTTCAATTTCATAATATGGTGGATCATCCATTTTAAAGAAATACGGATAATCTAAATATATTACGTCAGCATCACGCCATTGTGTGTAATTAGAAGTTAGGCGATATTTAACACCATTTGCACAGTGCCCCAATCTTCAGGCTGGACAGACCAAAACCAACATGGAGCATAACCTACAGGCCATTCAGATAAATCAGGGACACCACGACGAGCGTATCGGTTAAATATTTTTTGGAAAAAAGGCAAAAGCTCCGATGGGTAAGGACAGAAATCTTTAGAAACCAACTTCCAAGATATTTTTAAAACAGTTGAATATGTTAAATATGTCCACCTAAAAATTGTCAATTCTCGAGATTTTGGGCCTATAAGATAGAATTTACGTGGAAATGTATATTGGTGAGGCGGAAGTTTTTCACAGGAAGAAGGTAAGTAATCCGAAGAGAAGGGCGTCCATGGTAATTTTATAGTTTCTTTTGTTGTATTATCGGCCATAATTTCGTTAGTTTCTTTAGTTTTATTATCGGCAATAATCTCAACTTTTTTCTGATTCCTTAAGTTGCTCCATAGTATCAAATACAGGTCAACTAGTAAAATCAGTGCAAATAATTTCGTAAATGTGAATTTGTAAAAATTATTCGGTAATTTGTCCAACATTTTGTCATCGTCTTTTTCACAAAGTATGAAGGATATTTTTGCTCTAGCAATTAAAACACTAGGAAAGCAGGGCTCGTTGAGATCTGAAAAGTCACTTAACTATGGTTGTTAGTCAAAACCTAGATTTTCGTCAAATATATATATAATAAATTCAAAAAGACAAACTTTGAAGGGTGTCGAAACCTAAAAAGGTTATTGAAACCTTCAAAAACATGAATAATTTAACGTTAAGATATCCCAAATTTATTAAAACAATGTATGGTCACACCACAATTTTAGGTAAATACAATACATAAGGATTACGGAAAATTTTATATAGAATGAAAAAATTTTTTACTCTTAAACGGTGAAGCAACTTTTTTTATAATAACGATAAATGTGATCATTCTTTATTTCTTTATTTGGAAGTCGCCTAAAACGGTTCTTTTTTTTTTTTTTAGCCAATGCTATGCACCAAATTAACCAATGAAATTTTAATTCACGTGTAATATAAAAATGAAAAATCGCCAGTAACCCAAAATTTCAACTATAAAATTACCTACTGCGCTCTCGCTAAATTTTACGATAAACTAATCCTCCTCTGGCCCTAACCCTAACCTAATCTTAAGGCTATATTTTAAATATTTCGCTTTTATTCGATTGTTTTGATTTCACGTTACACCTGATCTCATTTAATTTAGATTTTATGTATTCTTAAAATGATAATTTTTTTAGCCAATCAAAACCAAATTTCCATTATGCTGACGTTTACCTAAATACTACAACAAAATGCAATCTCGCTATAATCGGTCGTATTAATTACCTCAATAGTACCACTAACAGTGACTAATCTATATGGCTAATATACCAAACATTTGAACCTAAACTGGCAAACAATCAAATTAAACAGTAACAGTATACGTATAACATAACTAATAACTAATTTATACAGTGAATGTTTTGAGTATACGTGAGCTGAAATGAAATTTACGCTTACGTATACACATAGAATCCAGTGTATAACTGATTTATACACTGTATCTTAATAAAGTAACCAGGTATAATGTAAAATAGTTGCCGGAAAGTGTGTACAGTACAGAAGAAATCGAACTACCCTTTGGGTTTTATTTTTTTTCGCTCTAAATATTTATCCTATTATTGTAATACAAGAGCCAAACAAATATTTTATATTTTATTTTTAAATCTACTGAACATTTGTATATAGTTAAATAATTTTATTACGAAATACAAAATATTATTCGAGTTTCTAATAAACATTCTAGAGGCACTTTATGAATAAAAAAACTAAAAGAGCTTAATACGTATATCTCAGGGAATGATTAATCATGAATAGTCTTCGCAACTATGTAAATTTCTTTACAATTATAAAGAAATGAATTTTTTCGATCATATCCCGAGATAAAGTAAACCAATTTTAGTAAATTTACGCCGGTAGTTTTCATTAAATATTTATATTAGAAGTTCAAATATATTTTTTTAAGAAAATCATTTAAATAATATCACACGTACTCTCTAAATGCGCCTCTATAAATATACTACTAAAAATGTACACAAACTCTGGCCCACATACGGTATATTAATATCATTGGCTATTCTCTAATTGCAATTCTCTAAATGTATTGTTCCTAATGACTTGCATTTAGGGAGGTCTACTATGTACGTTTAGGAGATACAATTAGGCTCTTCTTTCTGATATAAATTTAATATAACACAACATTTTAACCTCCCTAAACTCTTGTCTGCCAATTTTTATATGCTGCATTTAGAAAAGCCTAATAGTATATAAATCTCTCCGTTTTTTTCGATTCTATTAAATATTTCTTCAATTTTTCTTAATAAAAAAATAAAAAAATAAAAATCAACCTCTAAAATGTTGTCAAAATTTTATTCAACCTTTATTATCGCTTTAGTTATTATCATAACTATCATCAACTCTGCTCTCACTATGCCTACTGATAAACAACAAGTGTTAGAATGTATGGTTCTATAATATTACTTTTGTGTCAATGCTTTTTATTTATTTGTTACTGAATTATACCTAATTAAAATTATCTTTAATTCATTTATTAGCTCGTGAGTATAAGTAAATTTAAATTTTATCATATCCTAATATTAAAAAAATATTTATCTAATTTATTGTATATAAATTAAATTATTAGGAGGTGATTATAAATCAATTTTTAAATAATACTTAAAATTAGGCATCTCCCGCGGGAGATAAATCTCCTTGAAGTTTTTATTTATTTTGTCAGGGTTAGGGTTAGGTTTTAGCGAATTTCACAAGGAAACTCGTATTTTTGAAAAATAAAACTCGTAATTCCCCGTTGTAGTCCGTCTTGGTCCAAAGACCGACAGCCTTTTAAAAAATCGGACCGGACTGCGGTCTAAGACCGAATAGTACTTAGAATTAGACCGGACGGATAGGTAACATAAATTTAAATATATCAAGGCCGATACAGCTACAAATATAATTTTTGTCTCGCATAACATGCTATGAAACTTTGTGTCACTGGGCGAATTTTTTTTTATACAGCATATTTTTATAATTTTTTTCATCGAGCTTTTCGGATAATTCCGGAAGAGCAAAGCCTTGCATCGTATAATATATCTTCAACTTATAATATTATGGTCCTTTCGGTCCGTCCTAGAAAAGACTGGACCAGCCCGGTCCTTGGACGGGCCGAAGGACCGTCGGCTAATTTCGCGGGAAATGCCAAATAATTTAAAATGATAATTTTTAACTAAATAAACCTCTAACATATATGACTTAAACTATTAGAATTATCAAAGTGTGAGTATAAAATTAATTATAAATTGAAATTCTATTATAATCTAATATTAAAAATGTATCTTAATTAATTATAAATTATAAAATTTTCAAATTAAATTATTAGATTGTGAGTATAAAATTTATTTATAATTAAAATTTATAATAGTTTATATTAAATCTTTTTCTCTAAATAAATAGTAAATAGTGAGTAAAATATTTACTTATTAATTGAAATTTTATAATAGTCCAATGTTAAAAAATTCATTTCAAATTAGCTCGTAAGTTATATTTATATTTAAATTGAAATTTAGTAATAGTTTAATATAAAAAATACTTTCTAAATTCTATTCAAATTAAAATATTAGGTGGTGAGTATAAAATCAATCTTTAATATAATAATTAGATAAAATTTCTCTTAACTAATTATATATAAATAAATTATTAGATGGTGAGTATAAAATTTTTTATAAGTTAAAATTTTAATAGTCTAAAATTAAAAAACTCCTTTTTAAATTAATTATATATAAATCTTAGTAAGTATAAAATTTATTTATAAATTAAAAGTTATAATTATTTAATAATAAAAGTTTTTTTTTTAAATTAATTATTAGATGGTAAGTATAAAATTTTATTTATAATTTTAACTTTAAAATTTAAAATTTTTCTCATTATTATACGAATTAAATTATTAGTAAGTAAGTATAAAATTAATTTATAAATTAAATAATTCATATTTTAGAGATCATAAGATCTGGTGTAACGTGAAATCAAACAAATGAAATGTTCCCTTTGATTTAGTTAGGGTTAGAAAGCAGGGCATAGCTTGCATCAAAATTCTGCAAGGAACACAAAAAGCTATTTCCTATGCAAAATTTTGAGATACGGCGAATTTATAAAAAATGCTTTTTTATATTTTTTACGTTACAACTGATCTTGAAATTTGATTGGCTGGGCGACGTATAACATGCATCGCAAGATGCAATAAATAAATTAAGGTTAAAATTTCCAATAATAATTAAAAATAAAAATTTCTTTACTAATTATACTATATATATACATATTGAATTTTATACTTTATAAAATTAAAAATAATTATATATTAGCCGATTCGGGTGAGTATAAAATTAATTTTGAAAATAATAATATAACCTATAGTTTAACTAATAGAACTGTCTAATGAATTATTAGATGGTGAGTATAAATTAAGTTTAACTTAGAAATTAAGAATTTATCATAAAATATAATTTTATAATTTTTAACATTAAAAAATAATTATATAAATTGGATTATTAGAGAGTGAGTATAAATTAAGTTTAACTTAGAAATTAAGAATTTTTATCGTAAAATATAATTTTATACTTATAATATTAAAAAATAATTATTTATTAATTGAATTATTAGTCATTTTGAGTGAGTATAAAATTAATTTTGAAAACAAAAATATAACTTATAGTATAATTAATAGAACTGTCTAATGAATTATTAGAATGTGAGTATAAATTAAGTTTAACTTAGAAATTAAGAATTTATCGTAAAATATAATTTTATACTTTATAATATTATATATAAATTGAATTATTAGTGAGTGAGTATAAATTAAGTTTAACTTAGAAATTAAGAATTTATCGTAAAATATAATTTTATACTTTATAATATTAAAAAATAATTATAAATAAATTGAATTATTAGAGAGTGAGTATAAATTAAATTTAACTTAGAAATTAAGAATTTATTGTAAAATATAATTTTATACTTTATAATATTAAAAAATAATTATTTATTAATTGAATTATTAGCTTGTGAGTATAAATTAAATTTAACTTAGAAATTAAGAATTTATCGTAAAATATAATTTTATACATTATAATATTAAAAAATAATTATTTATTAATTGAATTATTAGCGCGTGAGTATAAATTAAGTTTAACTAAGAAATTAAGAATTTATTGTAAAATATAATTCTATACTTTATAATATTAAAAAATAATTGTTTATTAATTGAATTATTAGTCATTTTTAGTGAGTATAAAATTAATTTTGAAAATATAATAATATATAACCTATAGTT